CAATCGGCTGTCGCATCTAGATCGAGCAGCATCGACCGACGGACTGCACAACTTCAGCCGTCCCCTGCCTCTACAAGGCACGCCGCCGCTGGAGCCTTGTATGCTGCCATCTTTGTTGCATAGATTTTTTGCAGCATGACTTTTGTTTCAGAAAAAAAAATATACAAAATTTTCTGCAACATGATCTCTACTGCTAAAAAGTTATATACACGTTTCTGTAACATGACCTTTGTTGCAAGAAAATCTGCAACACAATCTATGTTGCAAATGTTTCTGTAACGTGACATTTGTTGCAAAAAAATCTACAACACAATCTCTGTTGCAGATGTTTCTGCAACAAGGCTTTTGTTGCAAAAGTAGAGGACAACGCATATTCATTAGATTGTGCGATATCTGACAGCCCACAAGGTGGCGGATCCTTTTTTTAAATCCGCCGGCGGATGCGTAGCGTCGCCCTTCAATTTTTCGTTTTTCGTTTTCCTTCTTTTTCGTTTTCCCATTCTCTTTTTTCTATTTCTTCTATTTTCTTTTTATTTCCTTTCCTTTTCCTTTCTCTTTCTTTTTCAAGTTTATTTCCTTCACAAAACTGTACAGAAATTTCAAAAAAGATTTGCATTTTTCAAAAATTTGTTCAAAGTTTCAAAAACTATGCCTGTTTTCAATTTTTGTTTACAAACTTAAAAAATTGATCTGGCTGTTAAATTTGTACACAAATTAAAAAATTGTTCAATATTTTAAAAAATGTAATTTCCAAATTTTGTTCAATCTTTAAAAAAAATCCCATTTTCAATTTTTTGTTCAGAAATTTCATAAAAGTTTACTATTTCAAAAATTATTCGCTAGTTTTGAAAAAATGTTCTAAATTCAAAAAGTGTTTCCCTTTTTAAATTTTTTCACAAACTAAGAAATGTTTGGTTTCAAAAATATGTTCCCGTTTTCAAAAATTGTTTAATGTTCGAAACACAAATATTATAAAATTTGTTCACAAATTCGAAAAATGTTCACATTTTAAAATTTTGTTCACAAATTAGAAATTGCTCAGGAATTAATTTTTTTTCCATTTTTGATATTATTCGCAAAATTTGAAAATTGTTCCCATTTTCATAATTTGTTCACAAATTCAGAAAACTTTCATGTTTTTAAACTTTGTTCAAAAATTTAAATAAATTGGCAACTCTGAAAAATTGTTCCTCTTTTCTAAATATGTCCACAAATTCAACAAATGTTCAGGTTCCAAAATTTGTTCACAAATTAAAATATGTTCAGGAATTTCAGGAAATGTTCATGTTTTCCAAATTTATTCCGAAATTCAGTAAATGTTCATGTTTTTTAAAATGTTTGAGTTTTCAAAAATTTGTGTTCATTAAACAACTCAGGTTTTTTCGAGAAACAATTGCTTTCGAAATTTTAAATATATGTTGGATCTGTGCTGGATGTTGGTTCTGAAACATTTTACGCCCCTTCTTGTTCAATAACCTTTGGTAGCTCAACCGTTTAGAGCGCTTGATCTGTTGCGTGATATCCTGTGTTCGACCCCATCCTATGGCGTCTTACTTTTTAGCTACCGATTTGTTTCCTTCATGGGCCGGCCCAGGAACTCCCATAAATCGTCGGTAAACTCAAAAGAAACAGCGAAACACGCGCGTCGCGGCCCACAAAGCCCGCCAATCACCTGCTCTGTGCGAAGCCGCGTCTACTTGACGCAGAATGCGTCCAACAGGACCTCCCGCCAGGACGCAGGAGCCTTTCCACCGGCGCCGCCACGCCCACCGCCAGCGGAGTCTCGTCCATGGCAGTGGCACGGCCGTCGCGGGACACCTGGTTGAACTTGCTCCCGGCGGCGTGCGGGCACACGCACCGCCCTCGCTAGACCTGGGTATGCTCGTGCGCGCTCTGCCTGTTTAAATCTCTACGCGGCAATCTGTATTATTATTTTTTTAAACTAGGCAAAAGATTTGTCATTTTCATTGAATAAGAGAGGAGTTTAGAGTTGATGGCCAAAGGCCCGATTACAGGCCACTACTCTGGCGGCATAATATTATACAAATGCTTTGCGCTTGCAAGGCTCCAAAGCGAGCATTCATCTTTAATCTTGGCGATTTACACTCCTACCGGGACCGCGGTATTATGGAAAACCCGCGCGTTTCGCTTCTTCCAAATCTCCCAAGAGACAAGCAACATCAACGAAACCAGGGGGCGACGCGACTGGGTCATATGCGTGGCGTTGTGTCTCCACTAGCCTTAACAGACTCGAAATCGTGCAGCCCCAACCAACTTTTAAGCATGCCCCACACCCTGACGGTGAACCTGCACTGGAAAAGGAGGTGTGCCGCCGATTCTTGAACTTGCTTGCACAGCGGGCATAAGTGACAATTTGGCCAGCCACGGCGTTGTAGCCTGTCAGCTGTCCAAATCCTGTTGTTGATGACCAACCAAGTAAAGAACTTGCACTTGGGAGGAGCCCAGTTCTTCCAGACAATTTGGTTCATGTCCGTGTCCATCAGACCAAGGAATTGGGCACTGTAGGCCATGGCCGCGGAGTACTGGCCATCTTTGGAGAACTTCCACGAGATCGAATCCTCCATGCCGGGGTTTAGCTGAATGTGGGAAAGCCTTTCCCAAAGGACAGCAAACTGGGAGATGTGGTCAATAGAGATACCCGAAGAAATGTCCAGCTGGGAGATCCAATAACCATTATGCAAGGCCTTTTGAACCGAACACATCTTCTTTCTGGAAATATCATAAAGTTTTGGGGCCACATCCTTCGGCCTCAAACCATCAAGCCAGGTCGATTCCCAGAAGGATGCCCAAAGGCCATTGCCCACCATGACCTTGGTTGTCGCAGTGAAGATGTTCCGGTCGTTCTTATCACATGGGGTTCCCAAACCCGCCCAAGGCTTTGGCCAGGACTTGCCATTCGAACCACATCCACCGCAGCCGGAGAGCAGAGGCAAACTTTGCGAGGTGAAGCACACCTAACCCACCAAGCAGCTTTGATCTACACACCTGTTCCCAGTTTATCTTACATTTGCCACCTGTATTATGAACTTACCAAAGAAATCTTCTTCTCAGTTCAGGTACAGATAGCAACGACCCTTTTTGCTGCCATTCAGTGGTAGAGATTCGGTTGGCTGAGCCCAAGAATTTCATTTCAGAGAGAAGCCCCAATGCAAAAGACGGCGCTACGAAAACCCATTTTTATTGCTGCAACTTTCGTTACAACTTGCAAACTTCAGAAAACACACGCGCCGCCGACATTTCCACGGCACTTTACATACAGCTGCAGCTTATTTCTAAGGTCATACAACCAAAGCCACATTGCTCAATTCACCTCGTCTCAGCTCTATCGATCCTTCCTTGCAAACCCTTCCCCCTGAACTAGATGGATCGACTTGCTATGCTTTCGCCTACGGTTACTTTGGTGTCAGGATGTACATCTTGCAGTCATGAGGCGCCACCGACGCAGATAGCTGCCCCTGAGCAGAGAACGACGAGTGCTGCGCAACAAGACGGAAGTTGTTGTGATGATGAAACCCTGGAATGTGTAACGGATTGTTAAGAATGAGCACTGAGCTCTGAAGAAAGCAAGCTTACCGCCCATAGATCGCGAGCGGTGACGGACGCGGACCCCGGAAGCCCGACGTTTGACCAGTGTGCGGTGATGGTTGCCTGGTACCCCTGCCTGTTCCATAGAACCACCGCCTTTCTGTTGCCGCTGAGCGGGCCGGCCCAAACCTACAAAAATATCTCCCCAGTTTCAGTTTCAAGAAATCTCATCATGGAAGCCGCTACTAAGAGATTTGAATTGAGCAATACCTCCAAACCACCGTCGGATTGCACCTTCTTTCCCTGGACGCCTAGGCTATCTGTTCAGATGACTGTAGTATGAGTACACTGAAAATCCCATATGAAGAAGGTGTATCATGAGCAAAAAAGCGGAAGAGAATACTTGCCTTGGTTGACAGCGATGACCTCCTGATTGCTGATTATGGTCTTTGTCTGCGGGCTCATCGAGCGCACGTCGCACCCGATCAGAAGAGGAGCCTACACAACTCAGAACCAGGATTGCAGTGAGGAAATGCAGAATTTCTTTTTGAGAATTGTAACAGCATTACTAAATGCACATGGGACGTCATGGGTACCTTGGCAAGTGCCCAGATGCTGAAGTGCGAGCGGTACTCGGCTTCGGACATCCCACCATTTCCAACTTCGAGCATATCAGGATCTGAGATTGGAGCAGAACATCGTCTATCGATCAGTTCAAACGAAGCTAACAAATCATTGGGCAATCAGCAACACTGGGACAGATTCGTCTGAAACTCTTACCGTTCCATCCACCAGGTCCAGCATAGGAGGCCCATTTGTCATTCTGGTCCGCGCGGGATGTCATGCTGAAGTAACGAGGTAACCATGATCAGTCCTGCTAATTCTAGTAGATACCTGGCCAAAATCCCAGAGTTAATGAAATGAGCAGCACCTGCCCCAGTTGTCAGCAATGTCGCCAGTTGTCCTCCAGCTATTACCGCCCATGCCACGTGCCCATGTAGCAGGGTTTTCGTTTCCCCTAAACAGCAAAAGCACACAAGAGTGAATCAGCAATGCTTGATGTTTCTCCTTTCCATCCTAAAATGCTATGACGAGCAGACTCACCATTCGCAGAGTGAGAAGAAGATGTTCTGCCCGTATTTCTTCATGGCGTTGCTCATCCTAGTGTATCTGCATCAAACATGGCAATTTACTTTGCAATCTAACACATAAGACTCAATGCACTTGTCATGCCACAGTTTGAGGTATTGTTCTCCCTACCTTTCGTGGACACTCCTGCCAGCATCATTGCAGTTGTCGTACTTCAGATAATCAACTCCCTGGAACGTAAGAATTACAAGATCAATTTATGGTGTCAGTTTTGGTTTGGCACCAGCCGTCAGGTAAATAATTACAAGGGGTATATGCGATTCAGTAAACAGAATATAGATTCCATACCCAAGAAGCAAAAGTCTTCACGTCTTGCTCTTCGTGATCGAGCGATCCTGGCATTTTGTTACTGCATGTTTGCATCCTGCGACACGCGGTGACAGTTCGTTTCAGTTTATTGCCAGTTTATCATACATACAAAGTCTAGTTTTCTTGGGCTAGTGAAGAGTTTAGTTGCTGCTGTATAAGAAGAAATTAGTGTTATTTTTATGATGAATTGGATAGCTAGCATACCCAGCATCACTGTAGATACCGAGTTTCAACCCTTTCGCGTGCACATAATCTGCAAGCGCCTTGATGCCAGATGGGAATGTTCTTTTGTTTGGAACCATGTTACCCTGAGAAATCGTGATAGAACATTATCGATACTGACAGAAATAATATTATAAATCGTGTCCATATGCATAATTTTCTGCTTCTAAAACTTCTAATATTATCTTGGAAATAATTCATACTACAGTTGTCTGAACAGATAGGGATGGTTAGCTGAATTTCATACTACAGTTGTCTCTTGCACTTAATTTCTTGGATTGTGTAAAAACATAATTCCGCAGTTGCAATATTACTGAAATGATAGGGATGGTTAGCAATGCTCAAGTGCATCTCCTTACCTGGTAATCCCTGTTTAATTCTGCCCAGCAATCATCTGAAACAAGAGGCATGATATACATTTGAGTAAAACATGCTGTTAAAAATATTCTATTGTAGTAGTTGTGTCCAACATGTCATGGGAAATATGGTCCGGAGAGCAGTCCATACCGATGTTAACATATTTATAGCCCAATTGCGCCAGACCGGTGTTGATCAACGCATCAGCTGAAGGAAAGGAAAACAACGACGCAGTCATTACGATAGTACAATTTGACAGCATATCAAATTCTTCATGACATTATTGTTGCAGTAAATAAAGACAAGGACATCATCACGGGGTGTTGGCGTTGGTCCAGCACCAACAACCCAACTCTAGGGACTCAGTGGTTCTAGCGCTAAACTAACCATAGTTATGTGTCGATGGGGGTCAGTACAAATTGTACCATGGGAGCAGGTGCATGCCTCCTCTTGTTAGAACTTAAAAAAAAAAACTTGTCTGACCCAACTTGTTAGCTCAAAAGTCCCTATCCTGATACGTACATCTGTCATATGTGGATAGATTGCAGAGAGACCCTTGTGGTTTGTGACGCTAGGGTCAAGTGATTTGTTTATCCATCGGACCACAAAGACCGGAAAATCTGATCTGCCGCCCTTTCGTGATTGATCGGTTGGCCTTAAATGTGGATATGGGTCCTCATCACCCCTCATGAACGTAATTCCCATCAGAATTCTGCACAAGGGTCTACATATCTTACGCTTCATCAGAAATAAAGAAGTCTGTAGGGCATGTGGCATGTGAGCGTGTTCCTCCCCACTCTCGGTGGGTATAGTTGTGACGTGAAACATGCTTCATGCTTGGAATCTTTCCATTCTCGAGTGCTGGATTGGATTGGACCGATTAGGCTATAAGAAAGCCTACAAAAGTACTAAAGCATGGCTCCATTAGCCTGTTTTTCTTATGCAGATTTATGTAGGGCGAAAGGCATCTCTGAATCGTTGAAAGGGAGAAAAGGCGTCCGTGATTCCCAGATCTCATCCGGCTCAAGGAATAAAGGTTGGGTAGAGGTTTTGGAGGAGAGAATATGGCGATGCGCAGAGGCTGTCGTGTCCCTTGTATGGTTGGTGCAACTTGTTGCTTGCAAGCTGTAACATGCTTACTCTGTAACTGGCAACAACTAACAACAACCAACAGCAACGGGTAGGCTGTGCCGTCCGACAGTGTGTGAGGAGGGAGGGAGAGGCCTGGGGCTCTTGGGGGCAACGCCCAGCGCCGACGCCGACGCGGACGCCTCCGAATCGGCACAAAAAACTCTCGGTGCACCGACGACGCACCGCACCGCACAAATGGCCGATGTGCCCGCGGCCGGACAAAAGGGATCTAGTCTGTTGGCGAGGGATTAATTGGGCCTGCTGGCCTTTTCCATGGATCTTTCCTTGTTTCCTGATAAACAGGTCTCCGGGTCAGTGTCACCGACACGTCATTATCACGCCCAACGCTGGTACTCCCTCCGTTTATTTTTATAAGTCGTTTCAGACAAGTGAAATTGTCCTGTTTTGCACAGCGTCTGAAACGTCCACATAGCCTTATAAAAGTGAAGAGAGGGAGTACTATAAACAGCAGTTTAGCAAAAATCCATGAAGCGTACTGGTGAGTTATCCAGTGATTGGGCTGAATGTTTTGCTAACCTACAGTTATAGAGTAGCGTTGGGCGTGATACTGATAACGACATGTCGGAAAGCACAGTGATTGGGCCGAATGTGCATTGAACAAGTGGAAAGGGAGGGAGGTGCACAATTGCAGGTAGGACCATAGGACCTGAGGCTTGAAACGGGGGTTGGGTTGGGTTGGAGTGGTTGTGGGAAGGAAGGAAGGAGCGAGCGTCCCGTACGTACCTGTCTCCCTGATGATCTCCTCGCTGATCCCGCAGTAGAAGTGGTTCCAGCTGTTCCACCTAACACACGAAATGTTTCATCATCAGTCAGGATTAAATTTAATAATCAGATTAAATTAGAGGATAAAATGGCGACCCATGACGAACTACATATATAGGTCAAAAGGAAAGTCGCGACTCATGACGAGGCACGTCCTTGGAAAAATGGCGATCATGACGAGGCTTGTCAAAGGAAAATCGCGACCCACGTCAAATTATTGCCGATGCTTGCGCATGACATATTTGCTTCTAGACCAATGTGGTACTACTTTTTTTTTTTGAAGGCCAATGTGGTACTACTGTATTGACTAGTAGTATTGAGCAACCGACACAGAGAGGACCGAGTAGGCGACTCGCCGGACCGGGTACGTGATGATGACCCATCAGCACCGGGACGGCAGTACCGTACGGCTCAGGTTGCACAGTTAAAATACTGCTATGTGCATGCAGCGCGAGGAGAGGACAGAGGCCAGGGGACAGGCACAAAGGCCAACAGAGAAAAAGGCAAAAGAAAGCATAGATAAAGGGGAGGGTCGTCAAATCTTTTCCCCTCTTCTTTGGGCGGGCTTTGCTCGCAGCCGCAGGCCCCCCTCGGTTGTTACGCAGTTTTTTGTTCTTTTCCGTTCAATTATAGACGAAGATCACTGCAGGTTTTGCATTACAGATGAAGTCACCGATCAATATATAGTACTAGCAGAAACAAACACTGTTGGATCCATGCGAAATCTGGAGCACCTACATGCTCGTTCCAATATAAATGCTGGCCAAAAGAAAATCTTTAGATCTATAGGAGTATATATGACTGGACGAGGGAAGCAGAGAGAAACGCCCAGCGCCTGCCTGCGCACGTGCGTGCCCACTGCCCAAGCAAGCATTTATCTTACTCCGCTCAGTTGCTCAATCCCTCATCTTACCGCCAAATATCTCATCCTATATCCAGCCAAAAGAAAGTACGTGGGGGGACAGAAATTGTAAGAAAAAAGGAAAACACAGTACGTAGGAAAATACCGTACGTGTAGCTACCAAGCGGGACAGAAATTGGAAATATCGCGTGCGGGAATGGAAGTGGCCAAAGTGGCTTTAACAAAAGCGTCCAAACCCCGGCCAGCCATCATGAAAGCGGAGGGAGCGGCTTAACGACCCGGTGGCCGCTGCCTCCGAGATTTGGCCATGCACCTCTCGCTTCCTCCGCAAGCGAGCCGCATATGAACGTCCCTTTCCCCGCCCCAAAGCCACCATTCTCACCACGCACCACCGCAGATTCTTTACGGTCAGCCCTACTCCTACTCCAGAGCGATGATACTACTATATTTTCATGTCAATAAAACTTTTGCTTTGTTCGTGCGGATTGGGCGGCAGCGTAGCGTGAGGCGGAGGATATGGATCGAATCGAATGCATGCTATACTATACCGGGCGAAAAGACGAGGAGGAAAAGACAAGAGGAGGAGTTGGGACGGTGGCGGCGTGAGTGGAAGTGCTCACCCCATCTGCGGCGTCCCGCCGAGGCCGTTCTCGAGCGCCTCCCGCCGCCCCCGCCGCGCGCGGAGCTGGCCCAGCGTCGCGTTCCCGGCCGCGTGCACGCGCACCCTGGCACCGGCCGCCGCCGCCGCGACCACCAGCGCGAGCAGCAGCGACAGGCTCGAGGCTCGCGCCATGGCTGCCGAGCGGGGAGGAGCAGAGGTAGGAGGAGGTGGGGTGGGTGGGGGTGGTACTGGTGGCGCCGGTGAGTGACTGCTGGAGACGCGTCTGACGCGCGCCTTTTTATAGGGCCGCGCGCGGGGACTGCGGGGCCGCAGTTTTCAAAATATTAAGCCCAAATATTAATGTTAATGTGGTACAATTATTTTCTTCTAGGAGTAGTAAATACAGTATTATTTGTTTTTGTTTTTGTTTTTGTTTTTGGGTGTGTGGATGCACTCCTGTGGCTTGACTTGTGTCGCCGGGCTCAGTGCAGTGCTCGCGGACCGGTGCTCCGTGGGATCCAGCCGTGCGTTCGGCTGCTGGTGGAGTGGTGGTGGCCCGCTGTCAGTGAGACGGGATGGCGTGGGCGGGGTGGAACACGGGATATGCCCCAGCTCCGTGTGTGCGCATGTACGTACGTGAAGAAAAATATCAACCGAATGATTTCTCACAACCTTTCGAAAAAAAAAATAGAATTGATTTCTTACCAGATACAGGCAATTCGAAATTAGCGGGAAAACTGCTTTTTTTTTCAAAGGCCAGTGTTTTTGTTAAAATACACGTGTACGTGTACAGGTTACATGCATGCTTGTAAACACAAAAATGTTAACTGAAATTAGCGGGAAAACTTAGCGAAGTCTCTGTCAAGTGACGTAACATGTAAGAAAGACAGAAAAATCTGAAATGAAAATTTTGCACGGATCTCTATGTAAAATCTCAAGAATGTAGCATCGATCAAGACATAATCAAGTCGAGATTTAGCTAGATTGTATCTCGAAACCAAAGACTGCTAATTTCACATTGAGATCCATTGTATATTTTGTATCATTTTTTTTGCGTGAGATATTTCGTATCATTTTCATCTATGAGAACAAACATTTCGTTTTTATTGTAGTAGGAAAAGAATATTACATCACCCTCAATGATTTTAAATTAATATAAACACATTTGCACAACCGACATAGAATTAGTCAGTCCTTGGTCGAAAGGAGGTTATAGTATTTGTAGTGAATGACGGAATCTTTATAATATGGTAAGAGAAACAGATTTATATTTTTGAAATACTTCCATATTTCTTTGCAGTCTGCACCAAAATATCAAATATATCTGTTTTAATTTGGGAAGAGAA